TGGCCAAGTTACGCTCCCCCCAGCTTGAGCATGCATCAGGATATGTAAAGCTAGCATTGCTGTATGTCTTAAATGTCTAGATGGGCCTTCCATTTTAATTAACATCGATACCAGTTTCTGACTCCAGTTTCTCTCCCTGTACGCCAATTAGAAGGAGCTATGAAAAGCAACCATACCCCCCCACAACAAGCACCCCCCCCCCCCCCCCCCCCCCCCCCCCCAGTCATCCCTGGAGTCTCAACATCCTGGGACTAAGGGGCTTCTTGCAGCTTCTCACTTACTCATTTAAAAACACACATATTAAATTAATGACACATCAAAATAAACACCTACATGTTTATATGAATAGATGTAAAGTACATGCAGTATGTGTTTTTTTTCACCCCTAACAAATACATACACACACTGAAATCTACACATGTACAAAGTGTGGTTTTTAAGTGCTGCGTGAGTCTTTATGATGATATATTAATCAAAGTAATATGTCACAATACAGGGACAGTCATTAGACATAAATCTACACCCAGTGGAGTGATCGCTGCCTTAGTTCAACACCCTAAAAAGAGAAAAAGAAAGGAAGAAAGAAACGGAGGAGTGAGTTGAAAGCATCAAATTGTTAGTGGGAGGAACCTTTGAAGAATTTGTTTCAAAAATATGTTCTCATGCCAATCTCACTGTAGCTGCACCGAGTGGAGATATTTGAAATCTGAAACTTAACATCTTTGGAAATTAACTTTTGGTAGAAAAGAAGAAAACTCCAACGCCGCGAGATGATCTCCTTCTATGGGTTAAAACGATCAAATGGACTTAAGTGTAACAAAAACTTTTTTTTGAGCAGGAAAAGTAATGCATGTTAAGAACAGATCAATTAAAAAACACTTAAAAAAAAGGCTAGAAAAGCTGAATACAAAATAAATAGTTTAACAGCAATAAACTGACACTAGTTATTCATATTCATTCTGCAAGTTGGGAAAATCGTTTTAAGAACTATACAAAGAAATAGCCACAGGGGCAGCTCGTCATATGCAAACACCAGATGCTGAGAACCCAGCTTTTTGGGGTCTCATAAAACCAAGAGCAAAAACAAGATGGGATGAATGGAATTAGGCGGGAAGCATAAACACAGTCAGAGGTATGGATGGCTGGGCTCCATACAGGAAGGAGACACGTTCCCGTAAAGCTATTCATGATATAATCCTCCTGTGAGCTTTTACCAAACACAGCGACCACAACATGTCTGTACAAGCAAACAAGATGTGTGTCGCGCGCACACACACACACACACACGTGCACGTGTCTGTGTGTAAAATTCAAATACAGGGTGGTTTTGATTGTAAGCAGAGGGAGAGAGAACTATGAGACTGCTGCCTCATTCATTGGCATGTGACCAAACCTATGATTTTCTTTACTGGTCCTTATGGGAGACAACCTGACCAGCATCCCTGTTTACCACGCTGTAGTGGGTTTGGGTGAAGGGCAGAGAACAGGGTCAGGGAATGTAATGAGGTTGGACATGAAGAAAAAGGGATCAAACAGAATGGGAGATGAAGATGGACGCAGATACAATGACCAGGTATTGACTGGCAGACCCTTCGGACCTTAACTCAACCCCGGGGCATAAGAATGAAAAATGCAGGTTCTCTCAAATGGAGCCGCTTCATACATAAGGAACGAAACTCCTAGAGATACAAACGTACACGCTCATAAATGAGAAAACACACCACAAAAAAATAAAATAAAATAAAATTCCAGCACAATCCTTATCCCCTACTGTATTTTCGGAGTGAAATCAATGCGAAACAAAGGGATCAGACGTGGGTTTCTATGTGAATTCCATTTGCCTGAAGGTTAAGTAAGGAAAAGAGAGGCATATAGAATGGGAACAGTGCCGAAGTTAGAGTAGAACAGAGAGGAACGGAGAAGAAAGTTCTGAGAAAGAAAAGGTTTTCTGACTTTGAATGTACAATGGAGCCCTCTTACCAAGAAAAGAGGAAAACATGAGCGTGTTCTACAAAGAGAATATGCATGGGGTGTGGCGAGTACTGCTCTGGTAGCAATATGATTGTAAAATCTTTATCTCCACAGGCTTCTTGCAAGACTCACCTTGACCTGATGACTGGAGTTCTGTCTTTGCTCTCGTACCTGTAACTATTTCTCTCTGAACAAGAATCCCTTATTTTTCTCTTTGCTACAGCAAAACCCAATCTTGCTTTTTGTTTTTCTCCCTATCACCTCCTTCCCCTCTCTAGCCTTTTTCTCTCGTTTCACTTCACGCTTATGCAACTTGTTTTCCTTATGGCGTAACCTCTTTCTTGTTTTCGATATAAACTCCTAAACTTGTTCACCCTGCATCTTCATTCTTTGCCTTTTAACCTCCTCTGGAAGCAACAAGTCGTGTATTTTTATCACTTTTGTTTCTCTACTTTCCCCTTTTGTCTCTAGTCTCCATTTTACGGTCATCCTGTTTAGTCCACACTGTGATAGTAAAATATGTAAAATATTGGTAAAGGAAATTGTGATGCGATATAAACATTTCTGGTCCAAATTGAAAAGCATTGTCAATGAAATCATGATGAGTACGATACTTAATCACACTGGCACAATGTAACACATAGGCCTGTTGCGATAAACAATAAATCGATTAATCGCATGATAAATGAAAATTATCAACCTCGTTTTCATTTATCGGCTTTATCGTTAAAGCGGGTGTGTCTCGCTTTCTACTGAAGACACGGCTCAACTCCAGTGCTCTTCACTGACCCCTCCCTTTCTCTTTAAAATCAGTTTTAACCGTCCAAAATCACGTTTTTGGATCGTAAAAAACAGCTAAGCTGAGAAGCTAAGCTACGAGCTAAGCTAACAGGCCAACCTCAGGGGAAAAAACATCCGTCTTGTCGAAGCTCCAAAATCTACGATCGAAACCCGTGCCTTCGTCTAAAAAGTTGTTTCTCTGCAAAAAGGAGCCGAGAACTTGTTTACTGATTTTTTATTAAAAGCTTTGTGTGAAAAATGCTATGCTAAACAGCTCAAACCACACAGAGCGTCCGCCATTTTGAGAAAAGAAAAACAGGAAGGAGAGACAGTCCATGTCACGTCAAGGGGCCTCCCTCCCATTTTTCTTAAAGAGACTCGCTGCTCGCTCCCTCACTATCCATCTTTCGGTTCAAACTGTCTTACAGTGTCATCCGGTGGTCAAAAAAAGGCACTACACAAAATTAACCAACATTTCTTCTTAAATTTGACATTACTACTTATTGCCAAATTTCAAACAATACTATCGTTTATCGCAATAATTTCTGAGACAATCGCCCAGCAAAATGTGTTATTGTGACAGGCCTTGTAAAACAGTCATTAAATAAAAAATGACAAAAGTTCATTTGGGTCATAATGTCAGATAATTTATCAGACTACTGATCAAAATACTAAAACCAGACTCATTAAAAGCCAAACCCAACTAATTTTTTTATTTTTTTTATGAGCTCATCACAAAAAAGCTGTCAAGACTGCTATAATTATTAAATGAAGCTTGCAAAACTATGCAACACAACTAAAAACAGTTATAAATAACAGGGTTCATTCAACGCACACAAAACACACTAACATCATCCACCATTTTCAGCAATGCATTATGGTTAACTAACTAGAATGAAGGCCTGAGGTCTCTGAGTGACCATGAGCTCAAACTTTCTCTCCACCTCTTTACCTGAAACGCTGCAAAAAAAAAAAAAAGGGGGTATCTAGTGGCACATTGACGTGCAGCTCAAAGAATCATCAACTCATAAAAGTAGGAAATAATTAAAGGACAATGCACACATTTCCTTAGCTCAGAGGTTCTCAAACTTTTGGGGTTCAGGGACCCCTTACAGGGGAGAAAAAGATTCAGAGACCCCCTCATAACCCTAATGTTTATTAAATAATTTTATTTAATTTGTCTCTTTAAGGCAATGAAAATACTTTTGTAACATGAATACTTAATACTTACAATTTACTTCAGACAATTTTTATATTTTTAAGCATGGGGTATTTTTCCATTCAAGACACACTTAATTAACAAAATTTTTTATTTTCAACTTCCAAAAATTACAGTTTTGAGAAAATTCACAGTATCAAAAACCACTTTAAAACTTTACCTATTTGCATAATGAACATAAATGTATTGCCGCTTCTTTAAATTATTACAGAAAACTCTTTACATAAAACTGAACAGATTCATAACGGCAGTAGTCATTCCAAGAAACAGGGCTTCTGAAATCTTGAATAAAGTAGATGTGATTTCCTGCATTTTGGTGTATTTTAACAGGTTGTTAAACATCTAAATGATTGTAAAAAAATATTTTTTTTTTTTGCGGACCCCCCAAGCACCAGCTTGTGGACCCCTAGGGGTCCGAGGACCCCAGTTTGAGAACCATGCGTTAGCTGACAATGTGTTTCATTGAGGGAATGTAAAAGTTGACAAGGAGCAACAAAGAGTGACTGCTGTCATCAGTGTCTATCAATGTTCTGCTTCCTTCCTCTTTGTTCCCTCTGCTGTGTGGTCTGTAATCACAGGGGTTTACAAAGGGCCCTGCAGTGTTTTGCTCTTGACTAATCAAACTAGTCAGTGTCACAGGGCAGCCTTATCTAAAACACATGGCCATGTCAGTTCTCTTCATTCCCCAGCTTTTCAATGCTTAGCAGGTTCCCCGTTTGCACAACGTCTAGTCAAAGAGTCTTACGGCCTCAGCTCAGATAGAACATTTACAAAGATCAGCATATGAATTAAAAATAAAAGTACACTTTTTTTTTTTTTACTTTGCCTCATTACTGATTAAATTAATAATTTAAAATGAATTATAATGCTGGGGGGAAGTCCGCATCTCATTGTAAATATTCGCAGGAAGCTAATAATATGTGTGATTGAGAATGGCTTGTTTGTTTATCTGTGCCTGAACTCATGTTCTCATATCACTCCCACCTTCAACTGCGAGGTGACAGGGTGTGCAGATATTCGAAAAGCTTACCTCGTAGAGGAGGCATCCTAGCGACCAGATGTCAGACTTGAAGTTGTAGCCGTTTTCATGTATCCTCTCTGGTGACATGTAGTAGGGAGTACCCACTGGAACACAAAGGCAGGCAGGAGGGAGGGAAAGGAGAGGAAATGAGGGAAGCAAATGGGGGGGGGGGGGGGGGATAGAAGTAAAGGCAAGAAGAACAAAAAGAAATGGAGGATTAACATTTTGCATTAAAAACTCATATTTTTCCTTTTTTTTTTCCACAAAAGGACATGCATCTAACTGTATATAAAATTATTCTCCATATTTTGCAAGATAGCTACAGAAGGGGCGCCTTAAAAGTGAATTACCTTTGTCAGTTTTAAATGAAGTGAAATAAGAGGATGCATGACTTCGAGATCATCATACATGCCCAAACCACACATGCAATTGTACCAGCATTACAAAGTTAAATACATATGTACAGAAGAAACATTTCCACGCACAAAAAAATACACATAAATCAGTTCTGATTAGAGTGGCTTCGTAATGATCTGAAACAGTAGTCAGAAAATATATCCAGGGAGCAGCGGTGGAGCCTTAAAACCTGGTTCAGTCCTGGTTCTGGTTTTGAAACAAGAATTCAAAACTGCCATGGCGAATGGCAGAGCTCCAGAAAATCAGAGCGTCACCCAACTGGATGCATTGAGGAGCCACAGCTCAGCGTCACATCCATGACACACTGCAGGAAGCGTCGGAGATCTGTCGCTTTCTTAGCCGACTTTGACTGGCTGTTTTTATCATCTGCTTTCTGTTTATTGTGATTTTCCATGTAAAAGTCTTTCAAGCAAATCCAGTAGAGGCTTTTTATTGATCACATATGGTTAAAGGATGGAAATGTTACCAGCAGCCTAACCTGTGCTGAGAATCTCTCTGACTGTACTTATTCCACATCCTCTCAAGCAGCCATGTGAGCGTAGGCTTCTGAAGTAAAAGGGTAACAACTTCACAGTAACATCACTGCAAATGACTGTGTGTATACCTCAGAACTATACTTTTGATTCAAATATTAAAATAGTCACCATCTTTCATCCTTTTCCCTCGTATCATATACTAAACATGTTTGACTTTTCACCAGTCATTGCTTAACGTCGCATATTTTTACTAGAACTGCAGTGTGACCTATGTTATTTCCAAACTAGAATTTAGTTTCTCTACGTGAAAGTTTCCAGGCTTTCAGTCTAATCAAACATGACACCCTCTTCTCTTATGAGGTAATATGAAATGTGGTCAAACTAAATCTTAAATAGACACCGCTGCCCATAGGCAAAAGATACAAGGACTTTCTCTTAATTCAGAAGTGCATGAAGTGGGCTGTATGTAATTGGATTTGATTTACACCGGTTAAATTTGCCCATACAGCTCTCTGTGGTGTCTTTTGTTAGGAATTGGTGATATATAAATTAACCTAATTCTACTGAATGTGCAATAAAGGGGAAATAATAGCCCTTATTCTGTTCATTAGATTCTTCTCTCGAAGCATCAACATTGATTAGAACATTACATTATGACCACCTGATTCTTATTCAATAATTTTTACTTTTATTTGACAAAGCAGCCATAACATGATTCATAGGCTCCACAAGATCTCTAAAGGTCTGCTTAAATATCTACCATCAAGCTATCAGCTTCATCAATATCTTGATTCAGATCTTGAGATGTTAGAGGTCAAATTAACACCACAAATTCATTCCTAAATCATTCCACTGAGTGACTGAGTTACTTATCCTACTCCAGAAGGCTATTGACTCCATTTCTATTAAGTAGTGCACTTTGCCAGCAACGTTGTTTAAAAAGGCAATACCTGTGAGAGTAACTTCTGGAGGGATCATAGAACTAAAACCTATCATCAGACCCCCACCTTAACCCCTCAAATGAAAACTCACAATAATCAACACAGCAGCAGTCGTTCAGGTCACTGTTCTACTTAGTCACGGTCAACTTTTGGCCCCCACATGCAAATGGCCTGAAGATTGCAGACTGAGAACACACTGCAAGAGCATCAGTGGTGTATGTGCTATAATCCAGTCATGAAGCATCACCATTTGGCCTTTATCAGAGCTGCTAAATTCCATTCCTTGTCCTTTTTTTTTTTTTACTTACAGCACTTTACTTTGAAAGGCAGCATCTTCACTTGCTACCTAGTATAGCCTATTCAAAGAAAAACACTATTAGTTGAGTCTAATCAATTTTCAATACATAAAATTTGCATCAGGAAATGGCAAAGGGGGGTGGGTGTTTTTTTTTTATCACGGTAACTGGTAACAGCTTGATGAAAGCTGGGTATGTGAGAACAGCTCTCAAGTGGTACGACCTCTGGAGAAAAGTCAGCTTGTAGAAAAATGGTTGGGAAGAGCCATAAGTGCACAAAGTACTGACATATGCACTCACTGACGAACTCTCCAGAGCTGTTCTGCACATTAGCAGGTTTGAAGCAGCTCAAATATTGTAACTGCCATTAATAAAATTAATTACATAATACACTGCCTGGCCCCCCAAAGAAGTCGCCACCTGGATTTAACTAAGCAAATAGGTACGAGCCTCCTATTGGATAATTACTGCATGGGTGATTATCTTTCAGCGGCCAACAAGCTATTTTACCACAACTGGTGCAATGAGTTGTATCTAATTTCATAAACAACCATGTTGAAAGACACATCGCGTGGTGGTGGAAAAGATGGCGGTCTGTTTGAGAAGGGTCAAATCATTGGCATCAAGCAGAGAAAACATCTAAGGAGATTGCAGAAACTACTAAAATTGGGTTAAGAACTGTCCAACTCATTATTAAAAACTGGAAGGATAGTGGGGACCCATCGTTTTCGAGGAAGAAATGTGGCTGGAAAAAAATCCTGAATGATTGTGATCAGCGATCACTTAAACGTTTGGTGGAATCAAATCATAGAAAAACAACAGTAGCACTCAGGGCTGTGTTCAATAGTGAAAGTAAGAGCATTTCCACATGCACAATGCAAAGGGAACTCAAGGAACTAGGACTGAACAGCTGTGTAGCCTTAAAAAACCACTCATCAGTGAGGCTAACCAGAAAATAAGGCTTAAATTTGCTAGGGAGCATAAAGATTGGACTCTGGAGCAATGGAAGAAGGTCAAGTGGTCTGAGTCCAGATTGACCCTGTTCCAGAGTGATTGGTGCATCAGGGTAAGAAGAGAGGCAGGTGAAGTGATGCACCCATCATGCCTAGTGCCGAGTCATCAATGCAATATCTTGGTGAAAAATTAATTCAACGCTGGATGGAAATAGATCTTGTGACATTTTAGAAGCTTATCGAAACAATGCCACAGTGAATGCATGCCGTAATCAAAGCTAAAGGCGGTCCAACGAAATATTAGTGTGTGACCTTTTCTTTTGGTGGCAACTTTTTTTTTTGGCCAGGCACTGTAATAATAAGGTGTGTGTGTATGTTTGTTTGTGGGTGTGTGTGTGTGTGGGGGGGGGGGGGGGGGGGGTTATTAGACTTGAAGACTACTTGGTCTGAAATGAAACCTAAAGTGCTTAAAATATGGTGAAGATCCAATTGGTTGAAAAAAAAAAAAGCTTTTATCTTTTACGTGTGATTCTGAATAATGAAGTGTTACCTGTCATTCAGAAATAATCAGCATTGGCCAAAAAGAAGTAAAAGAGCAGGCGGAACAATGCAGGGTGCTGGGATTGCTGTTTTAATTGGTTATGAGGCTGGTGTTGTGGTTTATGGGCATTCTTGTCTCTGTCGGTAGGTTTATATAAATATATATATATATATATATATCTGTGTGAGTAAGAGAGAGTTGTGAGGTCTCACAGTGTGGTTTGAACAGGCTCCCCTAACATTCATTATTAGTTGATTAAAAGAATCAGCCCCTCTTGTGCTAATAGTTGCATAAAACGGCAGCAGTGCTCGGCTACAGCTCCTTTAGTGAGCTGAATTAAGGGCACATTATTTATTCATGCAAATAAATTGAAAGCCATGTAGGGATTGATTTCCATTATTGCGAATAGCAATGACAACAATGTTTTCTCTGTACAACGGCGTAAGCGTTGTTGAACGGGAGGTGAGATGCCATAGACTATAAAGAACTCAACACTACTAAGCCCCTGCTGAGCGTACAGTAAAATGAACAAAACCTCGTCTCCTCTGAAATATACGCCTTGATTTGATGCAGCTTCCTTACCAACTTTAAAACTAAAGCTCTTGCAGGAATACTTAAAGGTTTCAGAGGGAGGTTTTATTAATAAGCATTCTCTTATCTGTGCTCCATTACCAATTTTAAACTGCATTACTTTGAACACCTCTCAAAGGCTATTACTGGATTTCTTATTCAGACCCACAGCTGGAGTTTAGAAACCTCTTCTGAAGCAGAAGTCGAGGAAGTAGCAGAGTCAGAATGAACTGGAAAACAAATCATAAGATGTTTGCTGTATTTTCCCCTCATACTTCTGTTTTTTTATATATATTTGAGCCTCTACTTCAAATTTGCCTCTCTACTATCCTCTCTTTTTTCAAATCCCTTTCTTGTCTTTATACTTTATAAGTCATAAATAAAACATCATTATGTGCTCAGCATTACAGATGTTAATTGCACATACATTACATAACTCATAACAGCTAATTGGCAGTAATGGATATTAGATTTGTTCTGCTCTCAACCCAACCAATGCATCCTCAGCACTCCAACGTTGACATTTTGCAGTTTTCTATTGTTTTTCTTTATGAATGCTGACAAAAAAGTTAAAGCAAGCAGGCGCAATTATCTGCCTATGCTTATGTGTGTACGTTCAAACTCATTTGAGTGTGCACATCTCTGTGAAAAGATGCATTTGTACATGAGACAAAAATATAATCTCTCCAAGTGTGTGCTGTGCTACATGGGAAGGAAAAAGTGTGTGTTGGTGTGTGGACTGTGGAGTAGCTGAGTTGAAAGCCTTGGAGCTGACAGCCTGAAAGCCTGGACCTCCATCTCAGCTCCACCACCCAACTCTGTTCAGCTGGGTGGCTGGGCTCATTACGTACCCGTGCATTGCACAGGCTTTAATACACACACAAGAACATTACTCATTGTTCCTGTGTCTAACTTTGTGTGGTCATTCATTGCCGTTTATCCTCATCTGAAACAGAGTAAAACTTTGACCCCAACCTAAACTATTCTTTCTAACCTTACCTTAACAACTAAGTCTGATTAGTAAAAATCTATTTTAAAAAGGTTTTCAAGGATTCAAGATAATTTATTGTCATTTGTATCACATGTGGTACATGAGGTGGAACGAGAAGATATGAAACAAGACAAACGGACTAAAAATACAATAAGCACTAGTATCATAAAAAATAAAAACAATACGCTGAACAGCAGCACAAACGTGAGCAGATGAGCATGAATGAACACAGCAACATGAAACAGATCAGCAGCAACATGAAACAGATCAGCAGCATGATGTGATTTTTCACAGTGATTATTCTGGTTAGAGATTCTTGAGTCTAATAGCCTCAGGGTAGAAGCTGTTCCTCAGTCTAGTGGTTCTACACTTAATGTTCCTCAACCTCCTGCCTGAAGGGAGCGGGGCAAAAAGTGTGCGTGTTGGGTGAGCGGGGTCCTTCACGATGCAGGTGGCCCTCTTCCTGCATCTGGAGGTGTAGATGTCTGTGATGGTGGGGAGGCTGACTGTTTTATAACAATTTATGTAATTTTTCTAATACAGGCTGAAGAAAAACATCTCATGGTCATAAATGGTGTAACACAATTTCACTGCTCTCCCTTCCACTCCTTCATTCTTTCTATCTTTGTCTCCTCTGGTTGTTTTAACCGAGTCATTGTCTCTTCCTACTTAGTTTCAACTAAGATTATTCCATCTTTTCCTTCCTTTTTACTCCTTTAATTTCTTCCATTCCAAACATTACACACTTATCTACCAGTAAATTTGTCATCCATTCTTCTGCATCTTATGCTCCTTTCTTTCTGTGACACACTGCTATCTCCTTTCCTTCACTCTCTCTTTTCTTCTCACATTCTAGTTTTTTTTTTTTTTTTTGTACCTTCTCCATCTTTCTCCCTCACCTCCACCATCATCTTTCCCTGACTAAAAGTCAAAGCACCAGAGGGAGGGACAGCGGGAAGGAGAAGTGACAACAAGTGAGGCACAGAAACAGCAGCCGGAGAGAAGGTGAGGTGACAGAGAAAGACAGAGAAGATCTGCTTTTTGAAAACGCACAGCGAGAAATGTCAAGGGGAAACCCAGAGGGGGGCGGGGGGGAAGAGCATGATTCGCCCTGAGCCCTAGGGTCTCAGGTCATAATAACCCACAGCCATTATCGCATTTTTAAGAAAAACAACCTTAATTATCTGGATATGGTAAAGAAATGTATACAGAATATTGAACAATAGTGGCAAGTTCTCTAAAATATTCTAAGAAAGCATAAAAATATAGTTTTAAACTGCACTTTTAAAGGACAAGGGCACTTATACAGTTTTGATGCAATTAATGGCTTTTCTGTGTGGCATTTCAGATTACCCAACAAATTAGCACTCACGGTACAGTTTTAGAAAACATCATCTTTGACACAATATGGTGCACGACTGTGCTTACCTACTAACACTCAATTCCACATTTAGATTAATGCAGATTGTGATTATGTTGACCATCACCTATGTGGAGCTGCCTGTCCTTTCTCTGCCTAAAGAGGGTGCTGTGGACTCAGACTTTAATGAGCAATCACAGACGCCTTCTCTCTGCTCTGCTGGAGCTGAAGGATGTTTAGCTGATAGGGTTTCTGCGGAGTTGATCATGTGACTAACACTTTGTGAGAGTCTGATCTGCTGTTGCTGCTGCTGCACAGAAGGCTGAGAATAGTTTGTGGTAATAACCGCCTGACATAAAGAACAGACGCAGTGTGAACGGTGTTGATTCTATTTACTGAATTTTTCCAATCTATGGTGAAGCTGAAAGGCCATTGTGATGTTGGTTAACGACTTCATGCACTTTTGTGGACCAAACTAAAAGCAGTCCAACTGTCCACACTGATATCCACCACATTTCACACTCAAATGTTTTAATAACCCACTGACACTGTGGTTTTAATTGCAGTGGAATCTGCCAATGCAGTTTTCAATTTATAGCAAAAAAACTACTTCAAACAAAATACATTTTATTGACAATGAATTTGTGACAATTTCTAAAATAAAAATTGCGACAGGATTCTAGAAAGATTACAAATACTGAAAATTAATTGGCGCTGTAACAATACCTCATTTCTACAAGACGGTTAAGGTGGCTAAATTGCACTGGTAGTTATATAGCTCAAATTATAGTGGCACGACTTCATTAATATTCGAGTTAATTAAAATATTACACGTATACATTTCAGGACGAATGCAATTTTCTTGTTTTTCTGAGTAAAACTATATTAATTCAAGAATACTGAGGCACCCTTAACTTACACCATTACACTAATAAATAAAAATAGAGCATTTGTGTTTAACATCATGGAGTCTGTGTTAGAAGCTAGTTTTTGCCAAATTAATAAATATCTTTAACCACAGATCCACAATGTTACTCCAGAAAATAGCAGCATTTATAGCCTTTAGGTGAATAATACTTACACATTTAAAAGCAGACCAAGCACATCTGGCTATGGCAAAAACAAACTTGGTAGCAGCTGTGGCCACCCCATGTATGACAATATCACAACTACAAGTGACCCTTTGAGGAACAAGACGAGTTAATGGTGGACACTTGGCCTTCCCACTTTCCAATAGATCCCAGGAAAAAGTCCAGCCCATAAGCAACAACCCAACAAATAAAAACAACCCGCTGCCAACAACCCAGGATCAATGGCCAATCCAGAGTCTTAATCCAACAAATATAAATTAATATAACTTTATGAACTGATTAGTATAGTGTTGTAGTGAAGACAGAACCTCTTTCAGTTTTAAGTTTTTTTTACATGCCAAAAAAGGATAAAGCTATTCTGAAAGTTATTTACTTGGCCTTAAAAATGGTTGAATACAACTTCAAATGAAAAAAATAAATATGACGGATCATGTTTTTTCCACTTTCAACACAAACCTAGTAAAAATGCATATGTTGTATGACCACCCCAACAAATAGATTACTAAAAGAATCATCTGTAGCATCCGTAACTGCAAAAAATGTGTCATTTAAATTATCTTTTTATTCACAACATTATGGATGATTTATGGCCAACTTTCTTTCTTTTTTTTTTTTAAATGATTTTTCAGTTCGTTCGGGCTTGAGCGACATTCCTTTACGCACAGCCTTTAAAGTCTCATCACATTTCACACTGAGGTCTGGACTTTGAATGTCCACAGCTACACCTGGACTCTTTTCCATTTTAAAACCAGACAAGACGACGTGTTAGCAGTGATTACGCAAACTCTAATTACAAAACTCAATTATTGGTCCACTTGAAAAGATGAAAAGAGCCAGACGATCTTACTACATAAAACCTTAAAACTGACAATAAGTATACTTACCTTATAGCATGATGGTATATCTATTTCAAAATCAAACACACAAAATGTTTCACACACTTGTTTAAAACTGATTAAAAATAATAAATAAATAAACCACTTGAATGCATTTCAGTTTTATTCTATTGTTTGTGTTTGGCTCAAAGCAGACAGTTTCAGAGTATGTCAAGTTATTAAATTGGTGTGGCAAATGTGTGCAACAACTCTCACTTGTTTAAATTATATATATATTATATTTTTTTCCTTTGAGGGACAAATGCAGTGACATTCAGAGCTTTGTGACTTCAGCAGGCATCCTCATCTCTTGACGGGGCTAAAGCTCAAGGCAACAAGAAATGGATAAGCAGCATGTGGAAGCAATGAGAAGACCACCAGGCTTAACATGCTAAATATAAGATTATCAGGGGGTGCTGTGTCATTTCTACATATAGACTCATATAAGTTACCTAGAGAGTGAGCATCAGTTGTTTTGGAGCTGAAGAATCGTCCCAGTCCCAAGTCTCCCAGTTTCACTACTCCAGTAGCTGTAATGAATACATTTGCTGGCTTTATATCTAAAAAAAAAAAAACAGAAAGAAAAAGAAAAAAGTGACTCCATGCTCAAAAAATTCTCCCAAATTGGTTTGGCAAAGGTTTTGTTTTCAGCCACAACTCAAAATACTTATCTGGATTACAGACATTAAAATATCATTCAGCTAATGTGGGCGTTAGCAAGCTGTTTCCTGAAGTAATGCTAATGTGACCTGTGTAATTCTTTGAAATTTACCGGTCCTGTATAATTGTAAGAGGCTTTTGAATAGGCCTTTTCTCTTAAGTGGTTGTTAAAGCTCAGAGCACGGGGTTCATTAGAGTCCCTGTGTCCTAATCAAAGTCTGTATTAGCAGAGGAGCATCACCTGTAGCCAAGTGAGTGTCTGAATAAGCAGCAGTTTGAGGTAATGAATCCTGGACTATAATTGTTAAGGCCCCGTTAAAGCACGAAGGACCATAAACACTGCGTTTTCTGGACTTTGCATCGTTTAACAACTACATTTTAAGCCACCTATCAGATAAATTAAATGGTTTAATGTTTTATTTTATTCTTCTCTATTTTAAGGATTCATAAAAAGAACCATATTAAGTTGCTGAATACCGTATTTTTCGCTATATAAGTCACACCTTTTTGCATAAATTTGCAAGTCCTGCGACGTATACACCGAAGCGACTAATATACGTTTTTCCTCCCCATATTTATAACTCAATTTTTGGCTGAGATTTGATGATTTCATTCATTCTGACGTGGAAAATACTGAACACTAACATTTTCAGCTGCTAGAGGGCCCTCAAGCAATGTGGCAAGCCAAGTGTCTCATTAATAGGTAAAAGTGGCTATTAATGAGACACTTGGCTTGCCATACCAAGCCACCTTCATCTCACACCGGAACTCCTGGAGCAAACGCCAAATCAGCTGCATTTTGCGGCGCCACCCAGGCGAAATGCAGCTGATTTGACCGTTAAAGTGCATTTATAAGGAAAAGTTAAACTGAGACACACCTTTACTATAATGTCGAGCAAACAAATAATTGTTTTTCGGTGGTTATCTTATAAAATTTTGAAGAAATGCACAGCGAGACCTCCCTCTGCGCGCTCACGCAGCCGTGAATCGGTTTTTGAAATGCAGCTGATTTGACCGTTAAAGTGCATTTATTAAGGAAGTTAGACTGAGACACACCTTTGCTATAATTTCGACCAAACAAATAATTGTTTTTAAGTGTTAACCTTGTTAAATTCTTGTTAAAGTCAACCCGTGCACGTTCCCGTGAACGCCATTTGGCAGCCAATAGATTTTTGGCACAACACCGGCCCACGTTTCCGGGTTGTCAGCGGTGACGCATAATAGATGCGACTTGTACGGCGGCAAGTACGGTACTGTATATACATTTTCAACATCTTTACATGAAGTAACAATACAATGATTTTACACTGGTCTTACTCAACTTTATTTTGAATATAAAATGTTGCTCCTGATGTGTTAGAATGTCCACTTAATACACAAGTTACTTGTTACTCGTCTACTATTAATGGATCATTGTAGCCCTGAATTATTTACAGTCAAGATAAACAAGATATGTGCAGTAGAGGTGCACTGACCCATCACCAATCAAAGATTTCTAAAAAGTCTGACCTGCCGATTCCGATTTTGGCCGATACCAATTTTGTTTTATAAGCGACACTGTCAGGTGTTATAAGGTCACAATGCACCTTCAATTTTCCAATCTTATTTTATTGAAAACATACCCTTGAACAAAATCCTAGAAACAATACAAACTTGTTTTAACTGGTCACGAGGTAGTGCTCTGAAATATAAATGAAGTTCAGACAATTGTTCTTAAAACTAAAAAAATAAAATCGGTAAAATCGGTTTCTCATGCAAGTACTGGCCGATTTCCCAAAATAAAGGAAATCGGAGCCAATAAATCGGTGCGCTCCTAATGTGCAGGTTTACAATATACATTCAACCTTTACTTGTACAGGTTAGTCTCATTGAGCCTCGAGGACTCATTTACAAGAGGCCTGACTTTAACAAAGAATGATGACAACAGTAGACAATCACAAAAGAAAGCATATATATTGGGAAAATAAATGAAATAAAATTACATTATAAAACGAAATAAAAACAGCTACAATGTAAAAAGAAAAACAAACATGTATAGCACCTTCACCTCTATGCATGACTCTTCGGGAGTGCATATGTTCGAGTGCACTGCAGAGCTGGACAAAGTACTTCCACACCGTTCTCTCTGGGATAAGCCGTCTCTGCTTCTTAAAGTGCTGTAAACACAAACGCACACAGAAAATTGTGAAGTCCTGGTTGCTATAAAACAGCAAAAAGAATGCACACAAATAACATTTTAGAACAAATGGGAAAAAATCCAAAGCATACAGTTTAAATACGGGAGAAAAAAAAAAAGATTTTACTGTATATACAGTTTATGCGTGTCAGTACAGTATTCTTCCCCACACTCCTAATGCAATCCAGACCACACTCTCGTTTAACTAAGCTCCGTCTCATTTTCTCGACTGTCGACAATGGAAAGCACATGCGTTCTCAGGAACACAGAAAAAAAATGTGGTCTCTTTAAAACTTCCCCATCTGGCACACAGGGCTCTTGTTATACAGCTTACAGTGGCACAGTGGTTCCACTTTTTAAAGTTAATGCATTTACTATCATTTGAAGAGCTGAGCAGGTCCTTCCAGATCATCCAAATTGTGGACTATCAAAAAAAAAAAAAAAAAAAAGCCACAGTGATGGCAAAAGCTTCAATTTAGGGATAAAAATTTATGGATCTAAAGTGATGAAAAGCGATGATAGAAACTTCTTGTCAAGCAGACTGTGGACACGTATCAAGTATTGCTATCAACACGGTTTTATAGGGTATCCTTTAGGCTCCAGTTTCAGGGAAGAAAAGCCTGGATGAAAGCCAGCTTGTGTGAGCGCTGTGCACATAAAAAATTACAGTCTGAGTATTTAACATTCCTGACACTTTACTTCTATTTTACAAGGAAGTCTTTTACAACAAAGACTTAAAGCTGCAGCTTCACAAACTAACAATACAGAAATGGAACGAATGAAACAAATGCACTGAATTCAGAACGTTGTACAAAAAAAAAAACAAATAAAAAAAATCTATAAGAACTTAGTGACCTCTAAGAGAAAAAAAACGTTTAACAGTTATTAAAGCTTCCCTTCCTAAAATTAAGAATGTCTAATTAAAAGTCTTCTTGAAAATTACATGATTTGATTTGGTTGCACAGTAAGGAAACTCAGCGTTCCTAGATATGTTTAAAAAAAAATAAAAAAATCAGCAGGAGTAACTGATAAATATCAGAACCGAGGGAAACAGAGGTAAGCTGGAAGTTTACTCAGTATTGCTTTATAGACAAAAACATACCACAGGTTTTTCCTGCGAGTGGTCAATGATGTCCAGCTCACCAAGTCATAAATAATGCAATGGCGGGTAGGAGTTTGCATTTGTAATGAAATGCAGCATGCACAATACACTAAATCAAGCCTCCATATAAGGTGGCTGCACGCATGCACAATTTATCACAGCATAATCAATCACAGGGAGAAAAGTTGCTTCTCTAAGTTTTTTTTTTTTTCTCTTGGCATTAAGGGAAGATTTATTCCTAAAGCAATGTATGATATATTCAGTGTATTACTGTGATACACACTATGCTTGCACTGCATAAACAGATAATATGCATTACACCTGTTCAAATGTAGGAATTGATTAGAGAATTGGGGAGGGGAGACCAGCATGTGCAGCTGATGCATCCGGTATAAATTACCAAATTTCAGGACATCTGCCACAAATACAAACCTCACATACGCTAAATAAGAATGCATTCACAACAATGATTTTGCTTCCAGTATTGACAAAATAACAATCACAGCCTCAGACATGATGACTGAGGTCAGCATTGACTAGAGCCAATAAAAAATTACTTTACTGTATTAGTAAGACATTTAAAAGAAATGTAATCTCCCGAGAGGTTAAGGGTCAAGAAAAAAAACATATATCTACAGTGTTTGGTCTTGAAAAGTCACATATTCTACTAGTTTATGGACCACGATTATACAATAAAATTCACCTGGCAATGCTTCAATACTGCCACACTTGTGGTTGAGGTTATCAAACTAAGTGGAACATGAGAATCAAATATGGCACGATGCTTATCGACAAACTAGTATACAGCATTATAGCAATGACCATGACAAGCAAAGATCTTGTATAAACTTTGACCTTGATTTGTGACCTTGACCTTAGAGCCAGTGTAATGAAAAGATTAGGGGACTCGCCGTTTAGCGATAATGCATAAGCGTATGAAGTTTCATTAAATTATCCTAAACAAATCAGAAGTCTGGACAAAAGTTAGACATTGTATAAGATTTAACCTTGATGTATGACCTTGACCGTGGAGCTGGGGGGATGAAAAATATATGCAACAACCCATCTAGCGATGATGTATCAATTTTCACTAAATTATCCGGAGAGGATGTATTGATGGACAGAGACTATGCCATAATATTTCTGTCTTTTGATGGACGTATAATGAAAAAAACTATCTCGCACAATTTGAACTCAAGAAATCCTGGAATTAAGATCCTTTATTAGAAGGGCTGTGACGCTACTCAATATATCAGTTAGGGTTAAGAATAATACTTCCAACTAAAACATAACAATTATTGGTTTTCTTAAGAAAGCTCTACCTAATTGCTTATATAAATCCAAGTAACAATAATTACCTTTTTATTCCCAATCAAGCAGTATTTAACATGAGTGAGAGCAAAAATTAGGAAATATGAAATAGCCAGACAGATGAAGAGGCAGCAAATAGTAAAACTGTGGAAGCACTAAAGAAATTATAAAGGTGAGGGTGAGAGATACCAAAAATGGAGTAATGTGTGAGAGAAAGGCAGAGATAAACAGAGATAAAGAAAAGGAGGAACAGACCTTGGCCTACATCCAAACAAAGCCTCAGTGTGGAGCCATTCTATCTTTGCCCTCCCATTTCCATATCAGAGGACCGTTTGATGTCAATGGGGGAGCACATAGACACCCACCAACACCCTCTTTTCTATGCCTTTAACAGCAAACACTGCACATGCAATATTGTGTAAGTGCATGCAAATCAAGGACCATCTGATTTCACCTGAATTCTGAACGGGTCAGAACAGAAAAGTGAGAAAAAGAGAGCGAATGGATGAAGGGGGAGTACGGAGGATGAAAATAAAAAAATATGGATAGGATAAGGAATGTTAAGACAGAAGCATAATGGATATACTGCAAACTACGTCTTAAATGTGTGAGTGAATTAGGGATGCACGATATTGGATTTTTGGCCAATATCCGATACAAATACCGATACCGAAAGATGGAACACCCACACCTGCCTCCACCCTCATTCGCCCCACTCTGGGCCTCTGAGCAAGGCCCTTAACCCCCACCATCTGCTCCCTAAACAGGTCTCTCTTGAAAATTAGTTCTCGTGGCTAAAATTAATTTATGGCCAATATCAGCCGATACCGATACCTTGCCGATATTATCGTGCATCCCTAGAGTGAATCCTGGCAAAATCACCCGCATTGCCATTAAAAGTACTAAGAAATATCGTCTGAGACTAACCTGTATAAATAAACGTCAAATTAATGTGTGTTTTTTTATAATGTTGCAGAAGACAAATGTGCAAAGAAGAAACGTGTGTGTTTGTGTGCGTGTTGGCATTTATAAGTGTATGACACAATCTGAATACTCCAAGCATCTTTGGTAGTTTTGCCAAGTTAGCAGTGACACTCAGTGGTTTGTTATCCTCCCTCCATGTTACCTGCCATGTTACATCTCTGTAAAATGCAACCTTGTACATTTGCTTGAATGTGTGTTTCGATGGTTGTGTCTGCACATTCTCTGCTTACAAAGTACACTTTATCCATGTGTAAGGTGCGTGAGGCTGTGTGTGTGTGTGTGCCAAGCCTGCCATGTTCACTCTCTTGTACCACTAATCCTCGCCTCTCCTAATTTGCTGTGTTGAACTGTACAGATGTGGAGCTGCTGAGTATGACTGCAAACAGCTTGTCGAGCTGTGCTGATACATTGCTGCGGCATCATTTATGCATGGGAGAAGACCAGGCTTTTTACATGCACACACCTAATTTGCTATACTGGCAGGTTTTTTTTGTAAAAACTAGGGTGTCGGTCTAACCCATATATGAAAAACAGCGTGAGCCATGGGTAAAAACTGCTACTGCTGTTGCAGACTTTGATTTCCTCTTCTGATCCAAATTCAACTCAATTCAAGAAATAAAAACATAATGGTCAACATGGCACATCTAGGTGGCTTAAAATGACATGCATAATAAACAATACTATGATGTTGAAATACATTACCTTAATTTGATTTTACAGCTTAAAACCATTAAAAGACCTGAAGGTAAGTATGAACAGATTTTTCACAGATATGGCATGAGTATTGAGGAAATATAATCAGTGTACTTAAAAAAAGGAGGTAAAACATCAACCGTTTCCAGCATTTGTTGGAGAAAAACCATTTATATCTTAGTTGCAATTATTATAAAATAACTTCAGGTTTATACATAACACTTCATCTCTCAAAAACTAGACAATCATAAATGACATCCTGATTTTTAACTATGTCTGTTTTACAGTCTGTGTGGAAGTGAGCATGTTACTGGATTGAAAGGAAGTTGCAGGAGGTCTGGTAGTAGATGTTTTTTGGTTTCAGGATGAAAGGGATGATTAAGACCGATTCAGTGTCCAGGTAGTCAAAACCCTAAAACAACCACAAACCACAGACCTCCTGCAGCCGTGCTTCTATAGTTCAAAGACCTAAGTCAACAGTTTGGTGCTTGTGTACACAACACAACAAGATCACACTATCGACTTGATTTTAGCTATGGTTTTTATGTGATATGTCTTTAAGACTTAGTGTTGTATTTAAACAGTAGATTATTTCAGAAAATACAGTATGAACAGAGTCCTGCTTTGAGTGATGACAAATTAACTTCTTTTTGCCACGCATTAAAATGAAGCACCATTTAAAACAAACAACAAAAAAGTAACAATAACGAACCATAACCGCTCTTCATCATTTATTCTACGATATACAATAATCTGAATCAGTTTTAAATTCTTTAAGGCAGCTGGATTGAGTCAAAGTGTTCAAAGTATTTTAGCAGCAGTCAACAGTTTATTTTTTTTGTTGCTTTTTTAATGTATTTCTCTGCAAGAACGTGAGCTGAAAATGCAGCCGCTCTGCTGATTTTATTACCTTGATCATACGAGAGAGGTCCCCAGCATCAGCCAACTCTAGAACTATGTTGAGCTCATTGTCCTCAATAAAAGATGCATGGTACTTTATCACATTGGGGTGGTTCAGTTGCTGTAAAAAAAAATAAAAAAAGTTATTGAGAGAAGGAAATGTACGGCAAACAGAATAAATGTAAGAGACATGTCATATAGGCATCCTTGGTCAAACTCCACAGCTTCTTCAAAGCTTTTACACTGTTATCAAAACAAAGTTATCATGAAAAGCAAAAGTTTAAGTCACGTGAAATTATTTTCACCTTCAAGTATTATGTTTGAAACCATAAAAGAAACATATATTTTGGTACACGTGGACCTAATGAGACGGTTTTATCCTCAAGGGTGACAAAGCTGGGTGACATGTCACAACAATCCCCTGTCTAAAACGACAACAGCACGTGTGCAACACACACACACACACACACACACAAACGCACGCACGCACGCACACACATGCACACATGTGACAGGCTGACATGGCTGGCAGTCAAAAAAAACAAGCATTCCAGGCTCATCTCTAGTGGAGACCCCTTCCTATTGGTTGGTCAGTAAGGCAGGAACAGTGATCCTTGTAGTAAACAAAAAGTTTCTTTCCATCCACAGCAAGAGACCGGGGGGGGGGGGGGGGGGGGGACGATGAAGGAAAAGAAACAAATGACACAGTGACATGGAAAAAGAATGAAGACAGGACAAAGTGAAGAAGGTAGGAAAAAAGAACAAAGGCTAGGATAGAAAACAGAACGAGAGAAGGATAAGGTAAGCTAGAAAAAAAGGGGGAAGGGAACGAGGAGAGATGGTGACATGTGGATAGTTGGAGCTGTGATGCGAGCAGATGGAGGGGTGTGACACGCGTCCTCCGCTCGGCACTGCTATGCCTTTTCTGCTGTGATTAAAGAAATGTTCATGCTCTGGATGATGCCGAGAAGAGGGGGAAAGGAGAGCACAGTCGAGTACACTGCGCTACACTACACTCTCCACTCCATGTCTGCATCCTTCTGCAATCCTCTTCCTCATTCGATCTGTGTAGCTTCCTCATGTCTCCATCTTTCCTTCTCCCTCCCTTGTCCTTTCTTGCCAGATGTATTTTTGGCTCAGAGTGGCAGTTCTGCACAGCTCCACACGGTAGCACAGCCAAAGAGCGATGACAAGTCCCCCCCCCACCCCGCCTGCTGCAACCCACTGCTCTTTCACAACTTAGACCTCAGGCAAAAGATTCTGAGGAATGAAGAGATATGTTAACATGCAGATGTTTATGTAAATGATGGATGTGTCCCTGCTGCAGTACAACAATCATTCACAGGGAAATATCACAGAGAGTCTTGCATGATTATGTAATTACACATGCTGGCTGAGACCCAACAGTGTGTGTAATTACTTAATCATGCAAGACTATGTGATACGTTTGTTTAGCTGGTGATAAGTTTCAAGCAGAACAAAACACAGACTAATGCAATCTGATGGCACAAAATTAAACATGCTAGAAAATTAAGGTATTGTGAAATTACAGAGTTTACTGAGCCAAAATAAAAGCCTCCAGTAAAAGTATGAGCCACAGTAGCTGGAAAGATTTCCTGTTAAATTTTGAACCCCGTGAGATCAGAAGAAAGAGACAAAAACCAGCCTCTACAGTCGTTGCCCTGCAGAAAATAACATTTAGTGTTGCATGGCATATTTAAACAGGATTTTATGTTGTAAATTTGAATACAGAATTAATGTCGCACATACAAAGGCCTAAAGATCTGTATATGCTGTGTGTGTATTAGGTTAAATGAAGCTGGTTAATGTCGACTCTCTGTCTTTCCAGTAAACCACAACTATAATCTAATCAGATGCAAAACCCAGACATGCATGTAAACACAAACAGAGATACAGACATATACACACACCCGGCACACATTTACACAACATATTACGTAGCATACAGAAACAATATCAGTACAGCTTTTCACTACTGATTAGGGGAGATCATTAGTCAGAAAACTATCCAGGCAACATAAAAAATTTTTTAAAAAATCACAAGTAAGAAGAATACTGTGTTATTTCATAAATGGGAAAATTGGCAGATTGGCACATGGAAAGCAATTTCTGCCAGAAACATCTTAATCAACGTGAATTTAGACAAAAAGGAGGAAGGGAGAAGAGAATTTCTCAAGTTGAAATCATCGTGCCAAAGCAAGAAAATACAGATGAGTGAACAGACATAAACACAGGCAGACAAACAAACAAATAGGCATACTGTTGAATGGCCATGACTGAGTATGCCTGGGTGTGTGAGTGTCTCTGATCACAGGCGACTGTGTGTGTCATTCCAGTCGTCTCATGCCAGTGTGCGTCTCATTATTCTGATTTTGCTGTGTCTCCTGTTGGCCTGTCTAGTGGCGGATAAGGCAGAAGGACTGTCTCTCTCGCATTCAGTCGTTTATTATCAGGCTGGCTGGGCAGCGCAGTGCCAGGCATAGCTTCTATGTTCACTAGCAATCAGCTTGCAGCAGAAAAAAAAGGAATAAAAAGCTCTGAACAGGGTAAATGAGGGAAAGGATTGAAGGCAGAGGAGAGATGGATATAACAACATAACAACTAGCCAAAAAGACACAGAGAGAGACGATAGAAGCAGTAGAGGGGGAAGAAAGTTGTATAAAAACAGCTACAGAAAAAGATTCATATATTGAGTGGGAATAAAGAAATGTTGCAGGAATGAAATGGCAGTGACACTTGACCCTGCCCCGACCCCATTTATGAGGTCAGATTTACAGAACTGGAAACCCTGCTGCCCGATGCCATCACATCAAAGATCAACTGATCAAATTAATGTTCCCTACAGGGTACCGTCTGAGAACCTTTGTCTTTGATTGGTCCAATGAACCCCAGGAACTCCAAAGAAGTGTCTGAGTGACATGAACTACCATATTTTTCGGTGTACTTGTCGCACTGCCTTATAAGTCGCATCAGTCCATATTTGGCTAATAAAGTGGAAAAAGCCATAAATACGACGCTTCGCCGTATCTTTTGCTGACGCGTCGCATTTGTTACGTGTGATCGCTGACAACCCGGAAATGTGGGCCGAAACCGGAAATGTGGGCCGGTGTTGTGCCAAAAATCGATGGGCTGCCAAATGGCGGCCGCGGGAGCGTGCATGAGAGGACTTTAACAAGAATTTAACATGATTAACGCATGAAAACAATTATTTGTTTGCTCAAAATTATAGTAAATGTGTGTCTTAATCTAACGTTTGCTTAATAAATGCACTTTGAGGGTCAAATCAGCTGTACTTCAAAACCTGATATGCGGAAGTAAATGCGTGCACACGACAAGTCGCTGTACAAAATTTAACAAGATAAACACCTAAACAATTATTTGTTTCCTCGAAATTATAGAAAAGGTGTGTCTCAGTCTAACATTTGCTTAATAAATGCACTTTAATGGTCAAATTAGCTGCATTTCGCTGGGGCGGTGCAACTGTTTTGACGGTTCCAAGCAGGAAGCAGAATGAAGGTGGGGAGACTATGGCAGGCCGATTGAGTCATTAATAGCTGGTGAAGATTCTCAGTCATCCAGGACATGGTAAATTTAAAAAAGGTCACGAAAAAAAAACCCAAGAAAGTATAAAGTATAATAAATAAAGTCCAGTTGTTTTTGTCTTGATATTTTGTGAATTTGTCATTATAGCCACGTTTACCTATTACATGATACAACAACAAGCCTAAACCTATTATTACTCTGCTGCCATCAAGTGACTGAAAAGGGTACTGCTCTTTTTTTCCAGTGAGAATGAATAAAAACAGTCATATCTCAGTCAAAAAATTGTTTATAAATACGGGGGGAAAATCCATAAATATGTTGCTTCGGCCTATAAGTCGCAGGGCATGTAAATTATGAAAAAAAAAAAAAAAAAAAAAAAACGACTTATAGGCCAAAGATTACGGTAATTGGTTTTGTTTTTCTTTTTACCTGTAATGAGTACACAAGTGTGTGTACATACATATAAAGTGGCTGCAGTCATGCTCTCACACACAAAGAAGAAGAATACTACCGGAACAACTAACGCAGAGCTCCGACATACATCTAGGATCTTTCAGACAGGTAGAAATATTGAAACTGTCACTGGTTTGTTCATTAGCATTTAGGCAGCCTAGTTGACACATGCTAAATGTAGTTTAACAAATAAAACTACTTCAATGAGAGGAAAAAAGCAAAGCAAAAAACGAAGAAAGGAAGAGACACACGAGAGAAGCTGCTAAATTTCCACGCTGCTGCACTGTTGCTTGGTTTTAAACACTTTAAAAAAAAAACTTGAGAAGAGGAAAAAAGAAACCACACTTCAGGCGTTTAAAAGGAGCCAATGGGAGCCTGGAGGGATGTAACATTGCCGTATCCACACACAGACACACAAATATGCACATACTGTATAGTCACACATGCATACTCATTCATATTCTCATTTGTGTGCACAACAGCCCCGTGCATTTGTATCACTCCAAGAAAATGCATGCACACACTGAACACACAAATCTATGCCGTCTGGTGCAGATCAATTGTTTTCCTGTGGTGGTGGGTCTCAGCTGAGGCACCTTAAGAGAACAGAGCACAGCGCATGGCGCCGTCTCCCTCTTCTCTGGTTCTTTACCTTAAGGAGATCTATCTCTTTGATGCAATCTTGCCGAGCTTTGGCATCCATCAAGTCGAATATCTATCAAGAGATCAAAAGGGGAGAAAGTAAGAGAGGACAGAGGGGTGTTTTGACACATTCAAAAAATGTAAGATTGAGAGAAGCAGAGAAACTAGAGGAGGGAAAACACAAAACAGAACATGGTTGCTGTTATCTGGAGGGTGGCACTGGAGTGACTACAGGTGTTTCACGTCTGAGTAACATGCACATATCCCTGTGAAAAGGTGTATTTGAGGTGTGTGCCTGTACACAAGCTCAATCAGAGCTGCACATTTTCTTGTCAGCATTATATGTACAAGTAAGCACCTACAGCAAGAACGTGCATGTATCTGTGTGTGTAACTATGAACGCACAACAGAATCGTACTGTAAAATTAGCTTACACAATTACATTATGCTTCACGTGCAAACGATTAGTCTAAAATCACGACTTTAGTTAAAAACCATCAGCTGTGATTTATTTATCTTTATGGTATAATGACATGTTCAAACTGCATTGCTTTCTGTACCGTAAACATAATGTTTACAATGAATGTTAGCTAAATAAATCTTAATTTGACAACAAATACTGCCAATATATAGCAGTTTTCTGTAAAAATATGAACAGAAAGATGATTTGATACATTATATCACTGTGTAATGTCCATTTTTGTTATAAACAAGTTCGCAAGTTCATGCTGACCTTTTAACAAACTGACAAATACAGTAGTCCCTCACTACTTCGCAGTTTGACTTTCGCGAACTAGCTCTATCGTGGTTTGTGTACGTCCAGAATATTGCACACAAAAAAAAATATTTTTTAAAAACACGATTGAGGACTGTACAGCAATCAATGTACAGAACTCACGCGTATATGAAAAAGTTAATGACAAAAAACTAATAATTCGGACAGGCGTCGCCGTTTTGTAGTTTTCTTTCATTCAGCCTCCAACTGTACTATAAGTGCCACTCAGACGGACTACATTTCCCTCAAATCAATGCTGTGCTGTACTATAGTGCCTCTGGGTGCCGTTTTCTGCCAAACAGTATTTTTGCAAAGCAAAGTCATGACTGCTGAATCAGCCTTTCAAACGTAAAATTTAATTCATGTTACGTGGAAAAGTTTTTTTTTTTTTTTTTTAAGAAAATTCAACTTTAAGGATTATAGGTTCTTTATTGTCATTCACATAGCATGTGGTACATGAGGTGGATTGAAATTGTGTACACAAGGCCCAAGTAACATCCAACACTAGCAAAAATATCAAGTGTAAAAAGAAACTGTAAATAGGGATCTAAGATATTAACTAAGATATACACTAAACGAACGCCCAACTGGATGCTAAAGGAAACAAACGTAAGATTCAACTTGAAGTGTAAATCATGTGAGGACATGTCTCTTTAAGAAACAGAGGCGCTGTGCTACGTGACCCGGGTGCTGATTGGCTGTTACAGTACAAGACGTCTGTTTACCTGCACTCTTTTTCAACTGGACATCAAGCGTGTTATTGCTTCTAAAAGTTCTGTGTAGGGGTGCAACGATAAATCGACCGGCTGATTTATTGGCTCTGATTTCCTTAATTTTGGGAAATCGGAAATCGGCTGATACTTGCATGAGTAACCAATTTACTGATTTTTTTAGTTTTAACAATTGTCTGAACAATTTATATTTCTGAGCACTACCTCATGGCCAGTTAAAACAAGTTTGTATTGTTGTATGTTTTTCAATAAAATAATATTGGAAAATTGAAGGTGCATTGTGACCTTATAACACCTGACAGTGTCGCTTATTAAACAAAATCAGTATCGGCCAACATCGGAATAGTCAAGTCAGACCTTTTAGAAATCAGTGATCGGACAGAAAACTGCAATTGGTGCACCCCTAGTTCTGTGCGTTCAAAAGTTTCCGACATGCCAGAAATGCTTTTTTTACTGAAATGTTTAGTAGCCCGGGCGCTGATTGGCTCAGTAACCGTCAGGTCTGTTTACCCGGCTGCTGATTGGCTGTTACAATAGAAGACGGTCGCTAACACAGTAGCAGGAGGTTTGTTTACCTGCGCTCTTTTTCAACGGGATGGCTTCCAAACATTCTACGTTCAAAGGCTTCTGGCAGCGAACCAAAACGGCAGAGGAAAATGCCGACGATTAAAGAAAAAGCGGAACTTCTGGAGAAACTTTAAGATGGCCGTACCTACGCGGATGTTGCCAGCCGCCTACAGCTCGATTGTTAAGATGGAAGCTGCATTTGGTCGTGTGGATTAAGGATTGCAAAAAAAAAAACAACATAACTTTGGATACCAACACCAAAGGTGAAACAACTTTACTGTATCTTGCAGCAAGCAGCACCGAGGAAGAGACCTAGCAAGACATGTAAATGAGGGGCGGGGGGTGACGAACCCAAAGCTGGACCTTTTTGACCATCTGGTACAACCACAAACCACTGCATTTAGTGCCAAAAAGGGATGGTTCGACAGATTTAAAAAAAAAAAAAAGTGTTTCTCTACACGGAGAGGCTGTGTCTGCTGATACAGCAGGAGCGGAGGAGTTTGTTAACACAACGTTCAAAGATCTGATCACCGAGAGTGTCTACAGGTCTAAATAAGTTTTTAACGTGGACGAAACGGGCCTGTTCTGGAAAAGGATCTCACACTTTCATTATGAAGGACAAAGCCAAAGCGCCTGGTTTCATCTTATCTTCATCACCTTCATCGTCATCGCTGGACAATTAATTCTTCGTCTCCATTTCATCTTCATCTTCTCTGGTGAGTACCCATTTAAAAATTTTTTTTTTAAAGGTTTAAGAGTTTAGAAAATGATTAGGAATATTGCAGGATTTAAAACGCCAATATATACCTGTATATAAATACTAAACTAAACTACTACATACAACTACAGTAAATACTAAAATAAACTACTACTTACTACTACTAGTGTACATAATTTCATTCCATCTCGTGTACCACATGAAATGATAATGAGCACATCAGAGACTCTACTTCCTCAGGCGGCTTAGGCGAGCTGGTCTGGGAAGCTCAGTCCTCACCTCCTTCTACAGGTGTGCAGTGGAGAGCATCCCGTGCTCCAGCATCAACGTGTGGCATGGAGGCTGCACAGCTGCAGAAAGAAAAGCTTTGCAGAGAGTGGTGAAGGCTGCACAGAAGTCTGTCGGAGTCAGCCTCCCCACCATCACAGACATTTACACCTCCAGATGCAGGAAGAGGGCCACCTGCATCATGAAGGACCCCACTCACCCAGCACACACGCTTTTTGCCCCGCTCCCCTCAGGCAGAAGGCTGAGGAGCATTAAGTGCAGAACCACCAGGCTGAGGAACAGCTTCTACCCTAAGGCTGTTACACTCATGAATATCTAACCAGGATAATCACTGTGAGGAAAAAAAAACCTGAAAAATCACTGTAATGCCACTTGGTTGTTGATATGTGCTGCTGATTATTCATGATGCTGAGCTCATGCTGCTGATTATTTCATGTTGCTGTGTTCATTAGTCTTCATTAGTCCTCATCTGCTCACACAGACTCATGTTCATGCTGATGTTTTGGCACATTGTTTTTGTACTATTAGTGCTAAGTGCATTCTTAGTCTTGTGTATTCTTGGTTTAGTGAATGTAGTATATTCTTAGTTCATGACTCGGCTCTTACTAATGTTTTTCTTTGCAATTTGTGTTTTTGTTGGATGTAACTGGGACCCTGTGCACACAGTTTCGTCCCACCACATGTATAACATGTGGTGTGTATGACAAATAAATCTCTCTGAATCTCTAATGACAATAACGTTTCCAGTACTTGAACTTGGACTACTGTATCCCTACTTCGCAGTTTTTCCACTTATCGCGGGGGGGCGTGGACCCTAAACCCCACGATAAACGAGGGACTACTGTATATTCACTGGGCCTGAAAACAAAAGTATATTTACGGCACCTTACCTGAACTTTCTTCAAGGCCACTGGCGTGTTGTCCATCAGGTACCGTGCTCTGTACACCTCACTGAACTGGCCACGTCCAATCTTCTTCTCAATGTGGAAGTTAGCCAATGAATTATAGCCCATATCTGGCTGCAGCGGTTTCTGAAAGGAAAAACAACAACGCTCAACATTTTCATGCATCTGTATAGTCAAAATTAAACAAGCACATGCATGCAATCTACCTTTGTAGAAGAAAGAAATCAGTTTAAATGTTTACACACGTTTTGTAATAAACCATATATTTGTTTTAAAGTGCAGGTATTTCCACATTTCTGAAGGAAAAAAGATGAGGGTTACAGAATATGGGTGAAACGGTGTTCAGGCCTGGTTTCTCTGGTTTGTTTTGCTTAGAGGCAGCTTTAGGCTGCTGCTGATTTGACTGCCATTAGGCTGATGAGTTACAGGAATGTGCATACACTTAACTCCAGAATAACACTAAGCCAGATTTCATTATCTTTTACGTAGTCATGCAGAGAATAGCTAAGAGTTCCATACATCCATTTATTTTCTTTACCTGCAACTCCTTTCCGGGTTGCTGGAAGCAGCTGCCTATCACCAGCAGTCACTCTCAGCAAGAGGCAAGTGCACCCTGAACAGGTAAGTCCATAACAAGGCCAAATAATTATTCACACACCTAAGGTCAATTTAGAGTCACCAATTAACCTAATGTGCACATTTTAGACTGTGGGAGGAAACTGGGTTACCAAGAGAAGGGAGATGATCCAGCCACCTTCTAGATGAGAGCAAAAATTTGGGGATCATAAATATTTTCCATTATCAAGTGAAATCTCACAACCAATACATTTAATCTAACTTTGTGCAGGTAGCAAAGTGTTGTGTTAAACTTATTTAACCAGAGCAACTTTTCTATTGGCAGACATTTAGTTTTGATTTTAACAGTGAACTCTTTGTTTTTGTCACCATGTATCAACTTAAGAGTTGGCAGAAACAATTATATTTGTATTTTTTTTATGCATGCTGTTCTCTACTTAATTCACTGGAGCAAAGATAGGCACCTATTTTCTAAAGAAACAAAATAAATGTTTTTTTGTTTTTTTTACATTTAAATTTAGACTTCAAATAATAAACAGTGTTTAACAAGATACAAATCTTGCTGCTTTCGTCTGCCAAGTTATGCCACAAAGTTTGGCCCTAGTCCACAGATCAAGGCTCCTTAATTTGCCTCGATCCATGGAGACACTCACCGTCCATTATTAATAAATAAGAAAACACACTCAAAAATAAACTAGAATTAGCCCCTTAGATATGATGTGCGAACAATTCACAGAACAGACTTTGTGACCTTTCCAGCCTACTGGTTAACTCATAAAAGGCGTTGGCGAAAGCAAACAAAAGGTGACAGATATCAGAATGCCACACGTCACCAGTACTTCTGCCAGCATGGCTGTGGGAGCAGCTCGGGGGGGGGGGGGAAGAACTTAAACGTGAGAAAAGGAGGATGAAGAGGGAAGAAGGTCAAAAATGAATCTCTAGCGTACAAAGACATACACGAGGAGTGTCATCACATCTGTTCTCATCACTGGTGTTTTGCATTTCGACAATGTTACCATGAATACAGACTAAACTCATTGAACTAGCTTACTATTGAGAGTAATTAGGTTTTAGTTTAGAACAAAAACAAACTATAACTAGAGAAATTGCATATGCTGCAAAAATGCAGTGTGAATGCTTGTTGCAGAACTTGCTGATACAGTCGAAATTAGATAAAAACCTGCTGAAATTTAGCTGAAATGAAAGAACAAGCATAACTTTGAAGAAAGCAGAACTCATATTTGCTGAATTAGGTTTAAATAAGCAGAAAATAGCACAAAAAAAATCTGCAAATTAGCTAAAAAAAAAGGCTGATATTAGCGAGAATAGCTGAAAAGTAGTCGAAAAGGTAGAAAGAAGCTAAAACTAACAGAAGGATGCTGAAATGAGCTAAAAAAAAGTGGAATTAGCTAAAAACAAGAAGAAGCTAAAATTAGCATAAAAACAGCTGACTAGAAGCTGAAATAGCAGAAAAAGTTGAAACTAGTAGAAAAAAGCTGAAAGGGGGATAACAAACTGAAATTAGCATAAAGAAGTTAATTAGGCAGAAAGTAGCAGAAATTACCATGAAAAACTTGAATTTATCTGAAAACAGCTGAAGTTAGCTAAAAAAAAGTAGCTGAAAAGGTAGTGCAAGCATAAATTAGAAGAAGAAAGCAGTAAGAACACACATTTGCCCAATTAAGCTGAATAAAGCAGAAATTAGTACAAAAAAGTGGAAATACTAGTAATCTGAAAAAAGCTGAAATTAGCAACAATAACAAAAAAAACTGCTGAAAATTTGCTAAAATGGCAGAAGCTTAAATTACCAGAAGGAAGTGGAGAAAGCACATTTATTGCTGAATTAGGCTGAAAAAAGCTGAAACTAGTGCAAAAAAAAGTGGAATTAGCTGAAAAAGCTCAAATTAGCATAAAACAGCTAAATAGTAGCTGAAATAGCAGAAAAAGCTGAAACTTGCAGAAATACTCTGCAGGAGCACAACAAGCTGAAATTAGCAGAACAAAGAAGAAGCACAAAAGTGTTGTAGTTAGTAGAAATAATCTAAAAGGAGAACAAAACAGCTGAATAACAACTGAAAAACCTGCTGAGATTAGCTGAAAATAGCTGAAAAAATGTGTAAATTTGCACAAGGAAGCTAAAAGAAGATTAACCAGCACAAAATGTGAAAGGAGCAGTAAAAGGTTGTAAACAGATCTAAATATTTGAAGGATATAAAATGAGCTCAATTAATTTTCTATGAGAAAAAAAAGTGACAGAAAGGGCTAAATGTTTCAAAAAGCTAAAGTTGCACCAATACCAAAAGTCAACGCAGGATTGTTCTGAAAGAGCTGAACGTTTCATATACAATTTGTTGAAATAGCACAGAAATTGTGGTACAAAAAAGATGCCGAAAAATGAATCACAACAGTGTGAATGCTTCAGAAGAACTCACACAATTACACAACGGATAATGTACTGTAACTCAATTTATTTTCTTCTTGAAAGATAACTAGGAATTATGTTAAGAATATTGCTCGACTATTGTACCATTGTTCACTAAGCATTCAGAAGATAAAACCTTTTGAATTTAACACTAGCACTGCTTTAACACAACAATTTACTGAAAACTGATAAAACTAAAATAGAAATCATGTTTTTAAACCTATAACTAGATTAAATTAAAAATATGCAAAGATGCACACAGTGACAGTGAGAGGAGGTGCAGCTCAAAAATTAAGTTTTTTACTGGCCTAGAAGAAGGGGGTGATGGGGGCATACGTCCAAGCGTTTACTTGTTTTTTTTTTTTTTATTTGACAGCCAAAGCAGGAGGCGTGAACCAATCGGATGCCCCGTCCAATTAACACCACTGAGGTGTGTGCATTTTTCAGCATGACACCACCATCATCTGAAGCTGTGTAAGAGTCACTGACAGCCAGCATCAGACGCTGCTCCACAACACCCTGTTTAACTCACTCAACGATACATCTGCATAACGCTTATAATGCGTCACTAATTGCTACCACCAAATACTTTATCAAAATAAAGTGCTCTGCTGAAGGTAGACAATTTGTTAACTAAAACTGCTTGGAAAAGAAGAACAAGTAAAATGTTCTATGAGTGTGTCACCCTAAAAGGTGAAGCAATATTTGGCAATACAGTACTTTTTCATAAATTTGAAGAAAACCTTTGTGTAATATGGATAGATCAAGGGTTATACATTTAAGGAAAGATAAAACGCAACAGCAAGACAGAGGACAAGAGGGCATTGCTTTCATTCGCTGCGTGGTAGCTTGACAAATGTTAGCATGAGCCTCTAAAGCGCTGTGACAACCGCCTGCTGAGAGCACAGTCTTGCTAATGTGTCTTGGCATGCCAGCTTCGTAATCACACATTTACATATGCAATGACCTACATTTGCATGTCAGCTCGCACACTGTCCAGCATGATTAACAGTGGGCACCTCCCCGTGTGGAGTCGCCCTGGGTGGCAGCAGAGGCCATGCGAGGGTGGAAGAGAGGGCTGGAGGGAGGGCGGCTTTTCTGGCAGCCAAGGGGCCGAGCTGCCAGGCAGGATTATGTCAGCCGGCGGCCCCGACATTAGACACTTCATTAGAGCTAATCTGTTTAGCAGTGGGCAGTGTATGTAAACTTCACAGGCCATTTGCGGCACCCCTTCGCCCTCTGGCCTGGCCTTCAAAGGGCAGCCAGGCCAGAGCTGAGTGACGGGCCGTCTCATCAGCCGCACACGAGTGTCACACAATCAGAAGCTCCCAGCTGAAAGACAAGGCCGCGGCAGACTCTCACACACATTCAGACATAGAAAAGGAAATCAAAGAGCAATGACCCTGAATGAGGCTGGGGTCAAAGTATGATTGAATCAAGAGTTGAGGGGTATAGGAGCCATTAAGGGTTTAAGCTCCATGTGCTGGTTAGACATGCTGGAAGAGATCAAGGATTAAAAAATAAATCTTTTTTTTTTAAACTGACAAGCTCCAATTGGGACAAAAGTATTGGAAGGATGTCCAACACAATGACAGATAAATGTTTGTCTCAAACAGTTGTGTAATAAAAAAAACACTTTACTTAAGGGAAGGGAAGTCTGAGATTGTCATCATTAGCTATGTTTACATGCGCAAAATTCTTTGACTGGATTGAAATGTTTTCAGATTAAATAATTTGAACATATAATTTACATAGGCACAATCCGTTCATGATGAGCGTTTCCATGCACCGGGCTTTTATTCTGAATAGAAGTACTGACATGCGCAAAGTGGTAAACTCTCCTTAAAAAAAACATACCGAAAAATAATTTCTACTTCCGGTTTACTTCCGGGATGAACGTAAACAAACCTGAGCGCCCAAAATGGACCCGTGGCAGGTCTTAATGACGGTGGAGACGTTTCTTAACTCCCGGATTGAGGTACAGGTAATACAGATCATTTTGAGCTCTTTCCAACTTTCTAGTAGAAATGTTGAGTCGCTCACCGACCAGTTTTGCTTTCCCGACATGCTAAAATTATTAGCATTAGCCAGGCGGAAATACGTGATGTAGACATAGGTCGCACATGAA